ATTAAAATTTCTTATCAAGATAAAATTAATAATTTTATATTTTATCAACGAAAATATAATTTAAATTTTGATAATATGAATTCTTATATTTAGATTTTTATTCACATACATTTAATACATGTGCAATAAAACAAAGTATCTTAAATCTCATCTACAATTGGTTTATTTATTTATTTTTTATATATTTTAAGTTATAATATTGCATCAGATTTCATTCTATCTTTATGACATACTATATTTTTTTGAATTTCATTAAGTGCCTTAACAATTTATATTTACAATTATCCCTTTCCAACATAAAAAGGCACTTTTTTTAGTAAAATTTCTATTCACAAGATTGAGTAGGGAAAGGAACCCATACAACATCTACAAAAAAGAAAGAGGAACTGTAGCAGAAATAATGTCGGGATTTTAAGTCGACAAATTTTGAATACTGAAAAAAAAAAACCCCAGAGCCACACAGCACTAAGAAATTCACTAAGAAAATTGTCTGAATTTGTACATATTTCATTCTTTCTAGCTCTCTACTTGAGATGTCACAGCGGTAGCCCAGGCGAGATGGTGCCACTATGATAGTAGTAGCGGGGGCAAGATGGTGGCAGCCAGGCAGTGTCAACACTACCATGTAGTGATAAGAGAGTAATGCGAGTGACACAGTGACAGAGTGATGAGATAGGTGACTTGGGATAAGAGAGTTGTGGTATCTTTTTTTTTTTTTTTTTTTGAAAAAAAAATAAAATCTATCATTTCCAATTTTATTAGAAGTTCTTTTTACCAAAGTAACCATGTTAACATTTAGGTATTATATATATATATATATATAATTACTATATATTTGTCCAGACACAATAAAATTTCTTAATTATAATTATTATTTTGTCTTATCTCTATTTTTAAAAGCCTATAAGGTATCCCATTATTATATATCCCCTAATAGGGCATTATGATAGGCAAAAGTGTCTCTATTGAAAATCTCTAGAAAATGGACGCTTGGAGAGTATAAAGATTGGCAAAGGTTTTTTATCAAAATGTTTCCACAAACCTAAGATCTTCACAACTTGCTATGCTGAGTGCTCTGGGATATTTTGGAGATCCTAGGGTTTTTTTCGCTCTGCTCTCAGCGCTGCCATCGTTTCCTACGATCGGGAGAGGTAAATCCTCTCCCAGATGGAGATCAACGAATTCCCCCTTCTTCAAAACTCTTCCATCCTGGGTCTGATTCCAGCATCTTAGAATGGTTCCTTCGCAAAAAACCTGGCAAATCCTTCTGCGTTTAAAGAAGATTTCCCGGTCTCCTTTGTTCGACCGAGTCAAAAACTCTTTTTTAAAGGATAAGATCTCTCCGAAGGCATCTCGGTTTGGTCTTTTTCGTTGATAGGTTATTCTCTAAGGCCAAGGCCGTATTATGAGCGAGTTCTTGAGCAATGAAAAAGGTATGGATACTGAAAGGTTCATTTTCCTTACTCTCATTAGCGGATGGTTTTTTCCTGATCAAATTCTCTAACCAAGAGGATTTTGATCTTGTATGGTCTGGAGGACCTTAGTTCATGTTAGGGAAACCATTTATTCTCCAAAAATGGTCCCCTAAATTCCAACCAAAGAGGGATGAACTTTCTTCTATTCCCCTTTGGATAAAAATAGTTGATCTCCACTTGGCCCTTTGGACCCCAAAGGGAATATCTACTATAGCCAGTTATATTGGTAATCCCTTATCTGTTGATTCTCTTATTGCTAAAAGAGCTAGATTAACCTATGCTAGAGTCTGTGTTTCTATCACTAAAGAATCAACTCTCCCGGATGAAATTCCCATCAACATTGAAGGAGAAGATATCATGCTCAAAGTAATTTATGACTGGAAGACAAGTCGTTGTGAAGGATGTGGATCTTTGGTTCACAGTTATGCTGCTTGCAAGTCAAACCCAAACCCGGTGCCGGTTGTTCTTCCCCCTCCTAAACCCCAAAACAGAGGTAGAAGTCTTAGCCGGAACCCTAGATTCCAAATTCCGGCTCCGGAGAAGCCTGCTTCTCTGGAAAAGGCAATTTTGGCTCCAGCGAAGCCCGCTCATCCGGAAAAGGTAATTTTGGAAAGTAATAACTTGACCGTTAACCCCTTTCCAAAATTATCTCCAGCGTTGGAAAAGAAAATTTCTCCCCTGATCCCTAATAATTGCATTGGCAAAGATGCAATTATTCCTAATCTGAATTCTCCTATTGAAGAAATTTCCTCCTCTAGGCAACCTTCTATTCCCTCTGAAATTCCTCAAGCTAAGGTAATGATGTCAAACAAATTCTCAGCTCTTCAAACTGATGACCCTCCTGAACAAGAGATGGAGGATACTAGCTCTGTAAGTAATAGACATGAATTTCATTCTGTTACTGAATTTTCCTCTTCTCCCATCTCTTCTGGAAACAAAAATCAAACTTCAGCGGTCTCTATGGCTACTAGAGCTAAGTCTGCCAGGAAGGGGAAAAACTCTAAATATTAATGTTTTTTCCGCATATTGGCTGTTGGAACGTTAGGGGTTTCAATAACCCTAAAAAGGTTAAAGCTTGTAGAGAGCTGGTTAGTGCTAATAATCTCGGTTTATTATGCATCTTAGAAGCTAAAGTTAACTATGAGTCGATTAATGACCTTTGGTTTGTTAATTCGCATATGATTTTTAATTCGGAAGATAGTATTAATAATTTTGATCATTCTAATCCAGGTAGAATCTGGATTAAGTGGAATCCGTATATTATTACTTTCTCTCATCTCTTTATTGCTTCCCAAATCATTCATGGTATTGTCACTGTTGGTACTCAACCACCCATTTTAATTTCTTTTATTTATGCTGCTATTAATGTTTGTGATAGGAATATTTTATGGGAATAGTTGAATAATCTGGTGCCGGATCCCTCTATGGCCTGGGTTATTATGGGTGATTTTAACTGCTATAGATCTGAGAAAAAGAAGTCCGGTGGCCAGTATACACATAATAGCCAGTTGGGTGAGCTTAACAAAGTTATTTTTGACTGTGGTCTACTTGATTTAGCATCTGTTGGTCTTTTTTATACTTGGTATAATCAGAGACTTGATTCGCCTATTAATATTAAATTAGATAGGATGCTTACTAACAATGCTAAGCTTGAAAGAATTCCTGATGCTTTTTATAAAGTTCTTACTACTCATAGCTCTGATCATTCCCCGTTAATTTTAGCTGTTTCCAATTGTGATAAAAATCCATCTAGATTCATGTTTAAAAACTTTTTTATTAACATGGATGGGTTTTGGGAGGTTGTTTTAAATGCTTTTGATAAGCTTTTTAATTGTAGTTCTATTGCTGCTTTCTATAGATCTTTGCAGATTCTTAAAAATTCTCTTAAAAAAAAAATTGGTCTTCTTCCTGCTACCTTTTAGATGCTATGAATGATTTAAAGTATAAGCAGCAACAATATATTACGGATTTGCAGCAGGACCCGTTGAACATGAATTTAAATTTACTTTATAAGCATTCATGTGACAATCTTAATATTCTTAGCAAAGCGTGGTCCTCTTGGTTGTACCAAACAGCGAAGACTAAATGGCTCAGGAATGGGGAAAATGATCTTGGTTTTTTATATGCTCATATTAGATCTAGAAAAAATATTAACATCATCAAAGAGATCACCACCTCTAAGGGTAAGATTGACAATAAGGCTGGTATTGCTGAAGCTATCATTAATCATTTCAAAGAGGTTTTTAACTCTCCCAGACCTGTTAATGAGAATGATTTCAATATTCCTGCTGGCAACATTATTCCCTCAAATTTGGTAGATTCCTTAACTTTGCCATTTACTGATTTAGATATTAAAAACATGGTGTTTAACGGATCCTCTTGCTCTGCGCCTGGTCCTGACGGCTATATGTTTGATTTTTATAAAAAATCTTGGCACATCTTTGGGTATAAGTTATGCAAAGCTATTAAAAGTTTTTTCACTTCTTGTCATCTTCCTAAAGGGGTTAAAGCTTCGGCTATTACTCTCATTCCTAAAAAACCGCATGCTTCTAATATAAATGATTACAGGCCTATTTCGTTATGCAATGTTTTTTATAAAATTATTGCTAATCTTTTGGCTAATCGTATGAAGAAGGTCTTACCTTTAATTATTCACGAGAGCCAAGCTGGGTTCATTCATAAGAAGTGCACTACTGACAACATTTTGCTTGCTTCCGAAATGCTTAGAGAGTTTAATTTTAATAGCAATCTTTTTTGTGCTAAACTTGATATCAAGAAGGCTTTTGATACTGTTTCTTGTAAATTTCTGATTAATAGGATGAGGCAAAAGGGTTTTCCTGACATGTTTATTAATTGGATTAATTGTTGTATATCTAATGTGCATTTTTCTACTTGCCTGAATGGGTCTTTGGAGGGGTTTTTTAACTCCTCCTCTGGCCTTAGACAAGGGTGTCCTTTATCACCCCTTCTTTTCTGTATTGTTATGGATGCCCTTTCTTGCAGTCTCACGTCGAATTTTTTGGGGAATAATAATCATGTTTTTAATATTAATGGCAAGAATTTTAATCATCTTATGTACGCTGATGATCTTCTTGTTTTTGGGATGACCAAAGCTCATAATGCTACTAACCTTATGAATATTCTTACTGACTTTGCAAATTCTTCGGGACTTAACATCAATCCCACTAAAAGCTCTATTATTTTTTCTAATAACATTGTTGATACTGAACAATTTTGTAGCATTATGGGTATTATTCAGAGGAGTAGTTTCCTTACGTATCTAGGGATTCCTATATCTCCAGAAAGGCTGAAAGCAAACCATTTTCAAGTGTTGATAGAAAAATTTTTTTCTCTTCTTGAAGGCTGGAAGGTGAGATTTCTTTCTTTAGCTGGTAGAGTTCAGTTTCTTAAATTCACTATATCAAATACTCTAGCCTATTAGATCAAAGGTTCTATCATACCTAAAGCCATTTGTAAGACTATCAACAAGCTTTGTTCAAAATTTTTATTCCATGGGGACATTCATGGTAAGAAAGTGCATATGATTGCTTGGGAGAATACGATTATCCCTAAGCAGAATGGCGGTTTAGGTATTGTTTTTATTGATGCTTGTTATTATAGTTATCACTGCACTTTCATTTGGAATTTTCTTACTTAGGATAGTTTGATCTACTCTTGGTTCAAAAACAAATACTATTCCCCCTGGAAGCCTCCGGTTGCAAAAGCATCTAAATTCTGGAAAGTTATTTGTTCCACTGCTTATAAAATCAAGAATCATTTCTCTTTCAATATAAATTCTACTTCCAAGTTCTCTTTATGCTGGGATTCGTGGATTAATGGGAAGCCTTTATCTGAATTTTTTCAGATAAACCAGTGGTTCACTAGGTTATCTGTTAATAGTTGTATCAGAAATAATGTTTGGACCCATCCAGACTATTTCCCCGATAATATGAAACATGTTATTAGCGCCATTGAGATTAAAGAGCAACCGGCTTTGGCTTGGGATGGCTCTTTAAACACGAAATTTAATTTTTTTTTTGAATTCTTATTATACTCATTTTGGAGGAGGTGAACTGGCACAAATATGTGTGGTATAAATCTTACTCGCTTAGATATTCTATTCTAACTTGGATGGACATTCTGCAGAAACTGAAAGTAGCTGATTTATTAATCAAAAAATCTATCCAGGTTAATCCGGTTTGCTGCCTTTGCAACAATGCCCAGGAAGATCACAACCATCTTTTCTTTAACTGTGATTTTACCTCTAATGTCATTAACAAGCTTATTCCTGAATTAAATTCTTTCTTACTTAGACCAAATTTGATTCAGGTTTTTGATTACATGGATAACTAGCTGCTTATGTCCAAATGGGAAAAGAATTTCTGCTGGCTTACTATTGGCTGCACCGTGTACCATCTTTGGAGGGAAAGGAATAATCGAAAATTTGCTAACAATTGAAATTCTAAGGAGAATATCATCATTACTATAAAAAACGCTATACGGGTCAAAACGTGTAGCTGGAAGCATTTTCATCATCTTATTGAGAAATTTCAATTCTACTAAAATTTCGGTTTTTCTTTAGTCTGCTGGAGCGGATGCTCTCTCGATGCTGTTTCATTCTCTTTGTTGTTTTGTAATTGTTTATTTTTTTTGTTTAAGTCTATTTTGGCTCTTTGTTAGGTTTGTTTGAGTTAAACTTTTGTCTTTGTTTGTCTTTGTTTTCCTGTAAGACCTTTTATGCACCCTTTTCATCTTAATAAAATGGGCTATGCCCCGGTTCTTCCCAAAAAAAAAATGTTTCCACATGATAATAGGCAAAAGTCTTCTCATCTAAAAGACCTTCAAGAGCATGTTTATTTGGAATCCTTTATGGAACCCTTTTTAGGAATGGCCCACACTAGAAATTACTAATTATAAGGGCTTATAATCATTTTAGCCAAAAAATGGAAATAATGGAATAAATAAAAGTAAATAATATTCTATTCCATAAATAGATGTATTTAAGATACTCTAATTCATTTAAGGGTGATATCCCTCAAGGGCCTTAATTATGCTCTTTGATATTCGATGATGAGCCTCCTAAGAATAGTTTGGAGATCATACCATTAATTCAATATGCTTAATAATTCAATAAGTTCTCTACTTGCTGACTTGGTGTATTAGATTTCTAGGGAAATATATCTTCAATCAATTAACTTCATTGGCATAATTTATGGTGAGTATAATAACGAGAAGCACCACATATCCCCCAGCTCTATTAGGTTATTTTTCTCCAAGAGATACAAATACGTGTGATTAACTTTAAATTAAAATTGCAATTTTCTCAGTTCACCCTAAAACTTAAAGAGGGTTTGGCGAGAGCCCTAACAAATAATTTCATAATAAATCTAAAATAATTATGAAAGGTTAGGAAAAAATAACAAAAGCCATTAAGATATAAACTTTCTCTAAGTCCTCATTCCAAAAATTATGAGCATAAAACATTTGATTGTTAAAGGATAAAAATTTTAAGGAACAACCATTCGTTGATTTTCATAAGAAAAATAGGATAAAATATAAAAATTCTTGTGGAATCATTAGAAATAAACATTTTGTTTTCGTAATATCTCTTTTTATAAAATTCTACATGTCCAAATTTATTTTAATTGTTTACAAATTTTATAATTTTTCTTCCCAAGAAAATCATGAGGTGCTATTATGAAAAAATTATTCCTATAACTTTTTATTCATTATAAACAAATTTTTTTATTTTTAATTATAGAGTTGATCATCTAAGTTTATCAAAGATAAGAACATTATACTTTCAAGCATAGAAATTTGAAAATAAAAGTATCCCAAAAATTAAATTAATATAGATTCGTGTTAAAGAAATAGGGTAAATAATACATATATTTTGAAAAGACAACAATAAAAAAAAAGTAATTATAAAATTAATATAGAATCTTGAAAATGATAAAATGTGTATTATATATAAGACAAATAGCTCCCCTCCGCAAGAATGCAAATGCAAA